AGGACTGGTGACTTTATGACTTGGTATCAAAGCCATCCGGAGTTCAATTCCTGGTGTACACGCTATCCCAGCGGCGGGGTGTGTCGTGGCACTGGGATAACCATGTCGATCCACTCTCTATCTCTAGGGAGGGTACTGGGGAGGCTTTCCTCGGGGAAGGTGGATATATGCAGCCTAACCCTCCTGATGACATCCCTTCTTGTCCCAGTGGTTAGGACTGGTGACTTTATGACTGTGGACTGTATGGAGGCGAGTCTCAGAATAGCGCATTGGATTAGACAAGGGAATACAGAGTGTTCTTATGAGTGTGTGTTGTACTCTCAAAGGACATGCACCTATCTAGCCTATAACAACAAATATATAAGTTGACACACCCTTAGGCTAGACAAGGGGCAGTGCCTAGCTAGCAAGAGACACGCAGCCAGGGCTGATTTTATAAGTCCATTTTAGTATGATTGTCTGAAATTTCAGACCAATTTTTTTGCCGATCCTGATTTTTCAGACTTGCCAATTTCGGAATGCTGAACCCTTCAAAGTTACCATACTCACCCGGATAGACGCCCTTAGGGCCGTGTTGGGCTGATAATAGCCCTAGGATCTTTTCAGAATGCTAAGTCCTTATAACAAAGTGCTTGATAGCACAGCGGAAGTCTTGAGTTGAACACTTGTACTGGTATATGAGAACAAGTGTGTTATAATTATAACTCGAAGTATAGCGCAGAATACTATAAGGGGAACATGATTACAGATTTATGATAGAAACGAGGCCTAGGCAATATATATAGGGTGATTGACCAGGGTTGAATGTCGAGGGTTGGACCAGACAAGGGCTCGATAGTCCCGAGGGTGACGAGGTCAAAATGGGTTCGGGGCGACTCGGGATAAGGTTGGGGCCGACGAGGTCGGCGGGGGCTGGTTTGGTGCGTGACTTGAAGGCCGAGCCTGCGGACGCAAACTGTTCGCGTGTACTTGCTGTGGCGAGTCCTAGTAAGGAATCGTAATTCCTTACAATCTCCCACCTTCTAAAGGAAGGCACCCCTTTATCGAGGCCGAACAGCCATTAAGAGTAATCCCCAATGTGAATGTAAGTCTTCAGCCCTGTGACGAGCGTAATGATTACGCCGGCCTGACGAGGTCTTGAGGTCGAACTGCGATCGATGGTCAGAAAGCGTCGAAACAGTCGCTTTTAATTCGGTGGGCGGTCCAAGAAATGTCGAGTTCGTTCGGTCAGCTGAAGAACTCGATATCAAACATGACGTTGTTCGAGTCACATGCGAGAGCATGCGTTCCGTATCCCATGAAAGTTAGCGAACTCCTTCAACGAAGTGACGAAATAAGGCGCGGAAGCATATCGGTAACGAATGTTGCTCGAAGATGAATGATGGAACACGCCGGAAAGGGTCAGACGAAAAATTGCAGCACGGCTGCACTTCTCCTCCCCCTCCAAGGAGAAATGGCTCCCAACTTCCCAGGTAAAAAAAACTCCAGGAAACTCAATGCTCCATGGTAGTCGAAATAATCCCACACTGCTGCATAACATTCTCATGCTCGGGTGCGAAGATGCCGTTGAAGAACCCCAACGAGGATACTCCAAAATCCACTCCAAACAGCTACTGCTCTCCCCTCCGCTCCATGTACCCAGAATACTCCGCAAAATTTCGGTCGATATCGCTCATACCCCCGATGATAGCGGGTACTGCTCCAGCTGTAAGTCCATGATCCGCTCCAGCGAAAATGTCGGAAACTCCATCGATACTTAACCAAGATTGCAACACTCCTTCACAGCTACCTGTAAGAACACTCGGGCGTCACGGCATCCTTTAGCAGCACCCCCACGGTTTCTCCACCAGGTGTACGCATGAACTGTTTTGGCCGTCGATCAGGGTCAATGCGCATCATATGTTGTCGGTCTCCGCCCAGCTGTTACCCAACTCTAGAAATTCTCCGGTATCCCTATCCCACCTGGCCGTGCAGGTGTTCACCCATCTCGCGACTGCTGCAGGTTACCCCAAATCTGCTTCGCTGCTGCTTAACTAACTGAGAATCCACAGAGATAGGAGTGCGCACTCTTCTAGTCAGAGGAGCTTTAACGAGCTCGCCTACTGACCGTTGGACAGCTCCATCCTCCGTCGGAAACTCATCGAACTACACCGCAAAAGTCATAAACTCCTTCTGCTACACCAGGCGAAACCCTCAGCTCCGTTGCAATAGTTACGCCTTAAATTTCGAGGACACCCCATCAGCACAGTGTAGTTTGCAGGTTCACCCCCCCTTATTCAGCCAGCCGTCGATTAGTAAGTCAACACTGCTACCTGATGGAGATGGTGATATTCAGGCGTCATAGCTGAGCGAGCAGCAACCCGAACGCCGCTAACCCTTAACTTCTCCAGTACTCCCGTCGTTCTTCTTCCACTGCTTCAGTTCCTAGCAGGTAACGCTTTCGGCGACCGGTAGAAAAACACCTAATACACACCCAAGGGTGGTGGCCTCCGTTTCCGTTGATCATGGGGGTATGAATCGCTGATCCACGAAAATCGCCTCCCCACGCGGGAAGTCGCCCTCGCAGAGTACACTCACTCCAGCACAGTGTCATCACCTCCAGATGGCCGTCGTGGTGAATAGCGCCGAGGTTGTTAATCCCAGCTGCTCCCACACAACTGCACACCCACACGTCCTTGTGCGATCGTGTCGTTCCGAAATTGTCGGATCCGCCCATTGCCGAAAACAGTCTTTAAGTCCCATCCATCGCCTGCAACTCGCCTACCGCAAACGCCGATACCCGCGACATAGCTACAATTCACCCTGCAACTTGATGGCACGTCCCTCCATTGTCGCCATCCCGCACGCTCCCGACGACCAAATCCCGGCCGCCTGGGACTCCCGTGCATTTTTCTCCTCATGACGAAGCCTTCGCTTTTTTCGGAAGCCAATCCGAAGACTCTGTCCGAACACCCAGAAAATACGAAAGCTCTAACGAACATACCCAAAAAAACACGGCGAAAACGTCGCCCACTCTTCGACAGGAAATAATTCCGTCTACGACCAGGGAAGGGGAGGACCGGCTAATCCCAGCCGTCCATTGGATAGGATCTGACGGCATCGGCAACGCCCGCGAAATTAATCTCCGAGACGTCAGCTCACCATCAGCATCCTTCCGCCCCCTTCCCCGATAGGGTCTGCTCCCCTACCGGAAACCTAATGGGCAGGAACGCAGCTCTGATACCAACTGTTATGAATTATAACTCAGAGAATAACATAGAATACTATAAGGGGAACGTGATTACAGAGTTATGATAGAAATGAGGCCTACGCAATATATAGGGCGATTGACCAGGGTTGAATGTCGAGGGTTGGACCAGTCAACGGCTCAATAGTTCCGAGGGTGACGGGGTCAAAATGGGTTCGGGGCGACTCGAGATCAGGTTGGGGCCGACGAGGTCGGCGGGGGCTGGTTTGGCGCGTGACTTGAGGGCCGAGCCTGGGGACGCGAACTGTTTGCGTGTACTTGCTGTGGCGAGCCCCAGTAAGGAATTGTAATTCCTTACAAAGTGCTTGATGATAGCAAAGGGATACAATGTTCATATAACAATACAAGAGAATATGAAGAGTCTAACTGTTTTGCACTTCGAGGGGTACATTCCCATTTACGGCTCGATAAAGGCGACTTGGGTAACCACCCGTACTGTAATATCGAGACGGTTATTTTTCCTTACTGTCGCGCTGACTCTTGACTCTTGTGATTCTGACTGTTGGGTTGCACGGTCAACGATCTGTGACCATTGCCCTTTTAATAACCTCTGTGAGGTGTCGTCAAACTGCGTGAATCGTCAGGGTAACTGTAGCGGTGTTGACTCGGTTATCCTCGCTGTTGTAGTCTTTATGTATTTCGTATACTCACGCAAGACTCCGAAAATGCCTTAAGTCCTTTTATCATTTCCAACACCCTCCTTCATTTCTGGAGTGTCGATATGGTCGATGTCACTGACGTGTTGCAGTCCAATCAGCAGCATGCAGTACTGGAACTTGGCCTTCATCAGCTTCTTGGTCAAGTAGTCAGCTGCCATTTCGGTGGTGGGGCAGTAGACCAATTGGAGGCGGCCCTGCTCGATTTCGTCCTTGACGAAGTAGTCACGAAGCGAGATGTGCTTCTTCCCGTTCGCGAATCCTTTTTTTTTTTACGATTCTGATTGCCGATTGGTTGTCGCAGCAGAGAGAGAAGGTCGGTAACTCGGGATTCTTCGCCTCTTCGAGCAGCTCGCACACAGTCCTTCCTTTGTAGCTACGCAGAGGGCGATTTATTTCTGCTTTCCCGAGTGCCAGGAGATATTTTTGATAGGTTCCAGGCGGTAGATAAAGCTGGTGCATGAACGGCGGTTGTCCTTATCGCTGGCGTGATCGGCGTCGACGTAGCCGATGAGTTCGGTTTTAGTCGCGGCGTTCTTGTGGTAGGTTAGTCTGATCGTCAGGGTCGAGACTAAGTAGTGGAGCGCGCGGTCGAGTTCCGCCAGATTCCCCCCTTCAGGTCGCTTAAGGTATGTAGCAAGCTGGCTAGCAGCGTAGGAGAGATCAGGACGGCAGGTGACGGCGGCGAACAGCAGACAGCCGAGCTCCTAAATCCCAGCCGGTGTGAGTAGTGAGGCGGTCAACGCGGGTGCTGGCAGCGCGTAGGTGTACGGAGTAGCGAGAGGTAGCGGGGACAGATCGAATCAGCGAGTGATGGTGTCGGCGTACTTCGATCGTGATTGTGAGCTGGAGTTCCAGCTCGCCTTCAAACTAGATCGTGATGGAAGTGGTGGAGCCAATGTAGAGCAGGTCGTCCACATAGATGATCAGCAGGACATAGTCGCCGCTGCGGGACGGGCAATACATGCCCTGGTCGTGCGGTAGCTGGGCGAAGCCCATGTCGGTGAGGATGCAGTGCAGGTACTGCTGCCACAGGCGCGGAGCCTGCTTGATCCCGTAGAGGGATTTGAGCAGTTGGCAGACCATCGTTGGGTCGTCGACCTAGGTGTGGGGCTGCTCCACGAAGATGTCGGCGTCGACTGGGGCGTAGAGGAAGGCGGTGGCAACGTCGATTTGGCGCAGGGGAAGGCGACGAGCGACGGCGAGGAGGATTCGAAGGGAAGCGTGGCGGCTGACAGGAGCAAACGGCTCCGTATAGTTGCTGCCGTACTGCTGTTCGAATCCGCGAATGACCCATCGTGCTTTGAAGCGAACAAGGGTTCCATCTCCCTTGGTTTTTACTCGGAACACCCATTTTCCCGACAGGATTGTTTTTCCCTTGGTTTGGGAGATCGGGATCAGCTTTGAAGGTGTTTCTTTCATGTAGCGCCGCTAATTCCCTGTCCATTGACTCCCTCATTTCTCCCTGTCTGGCCTTTGCAGCGCTCGCTTGACAGTCTTCGGCTCCTCAACTGGCGACGGTGACAGAGGATGCACCGCTGCTACCAGTCCGAGGATTTGAAGTCCAGTCTTGGTGTAGCGGGGGAGGGTTGGATCCTCGGGATAAGATGCTTCGTCGCCTACTTCAGGATTAGGTACGAAACCTGGTCCTACGCGTTCTGAGACATTTGTGTCGACGTTGTCGGGTGTTATGTAACCAATGTCGGCGAAGTGGTAGTAGGCTTCGGCATTCGCACTTTTGCGAGGGTTATCGTCGTCCATCTGCATGTCGATGAAGCAGTAGGGAACTGGTCCTGCAACTGCTGACGCATCAGGGATGTTCTGCTCCTCCAGGTCAGCTTCTTCTTCGGTCGAGGCGAACGCGCGTGCTCCAGCAAAGCCACCGGATGGGTCCCAATTGGCTGCGATAGTCTCCAGGTAATGATTGAACGTGAGGTTTTCGTAGAAAATCACGTCACGTGCCATAACGGTTTCCTTATCCTCGACGTCAAAGATTTTCCAGGCCTTGTAGTGTTTTTCCACACCGAGGTGTAGACCCCATCTTGCCCGCTGCGAAAATCGTCCAGCTCTTGCAGTGTGTGGACGGTACTGTACCATGCACCTGAACACTCATAACAATTTTGTGCTGCCTTGCTTCCCTGTCCACAGCAGATGTGGTGATGCGTTGTTTGGTAAGGAGCTTGACGACAGGAGATTCTGTAGCATGACGGCGTGAGTCATCGCCTCTGGCCACTGCGAGTTGGGTAGTCGCATCCCGGTCAATAACTTCCTCATGTTGTTCTGTAGGGTCCGATTCATCCTCTCTACTACGCCGTTTTTTTGGTGAGCGTAGGGAACGGTGATGAGCCTCTTAATTCCCCTTTCTGCGAGGTAGTCCTTGAATCATTGTGATTGATACTCCATCGCTCCATCGGACTGAAAGCTTTCTAGCTTCGTGTCTACCTCCCGTTCTGCTGCAGCAAGCCATGCGGCGAAGGCAGAGAAGGCGAGGTCGCGTAACGGTAGGTTAAGATGCCAATTGTATCTTGTCGCGGCATCGACAAAGGTGATTACGTAGTTGAGGTCGGCCCGGCCGACTTATCGCGGGATGTAGAGTATATCGCTGTAGATGTTCTCGAGTGGAGTGTACTCTGGTGCGCTGGGGTAATGATGTGATGGGAACGGCTGACGAGGAAGAACTGCTTCCGGGCAGATAAAGCAGGTACGTCGCGGTCGGCGAAGTTCTCAGATGGTACCAGAAGCCATTGCGGTCGAACCCGGGGTCAAGATCCGGCGGGTGCCTCCAGGGTGCGAAGGAGACGACGCCGTCGCTGTCGGCGGTCCCTCGGTCCAGAACGAAGTCCAAGACGAAGACTCCGTGCTTCTGAATGGCTCTGCTGATGAAGAGGCCGCCCTTCCCGTGGTGGAGTCGGAACTCTCGGTCGAAGCTGTCGCACTCCAGCTGAATTCCCTTTGACATTAGCTGGCTAACGCTTAAGAGGTTGTAACCGAGGTTGTCGACGACGAGTACTCGTGACATTTGTAATATCACGTTCGTCTCGCTTGATTGTAACTGAACAACTCCCTCCTTCCTTGTACACATGTTCTGGATGTTGGCGACAGTGATGACGACTTCACGGCTCAACATCTTCTCTTGCTGGACGAAGCGTGTTGAAGAACACATGTGCTGGCCACAGCAGCTATCAAGAAACCATGTGTTGTGGCCAGACAGTCGTTGTGAGCGATTGCAACGCAAGTCGGGTTCGGTTGGAGCCGGGTTTGTGTCGGAGCGGGAGGTTGTTCGTCGAGATCGTTGTGTGGTGGAGAGTCGGTACGCAGAAGTCCATTCGAGCCATACAACTGATGACATTCCTTGCGTCTTGTGTAGAGCGGTTCGTCGGAGCTGATCTGCTGAGTTGAAGCGACCGGATTCGGTGACGGACGTGGCGCTCGGGGTTGATACTGTGAGAACTGCAGCTGCTGCTGGATGGACGAGGATGGACTCCTCGTGTGGCTACGGGAAGAAGTGAAGCCCTTCCCGAGGCCTTCGTTCGGCCGGCGCGCGAAGTCGGCAATCCTGGTCTTTTACTGGTCATCTCACTGACCGCGTGATGGCTGAGCTGAGGGAGCAGGGAATCATTCCCGCCACCATCCCAAGCGGCTGCACAAGCCTCCTCCAGCCGCTGGACGTCTACAAGGCGCACGTGCGAGGGGACTACCAGGACTGGTTCGACGAGATTGGCGTCAACCTCACCACGCCGAAGGGTATGAACCTCTCGCTAACCCCTTCATCCCCTTCAACCGTCTGTAGGGCGAAACACCCTTGAGTAGGTGGGGCTAATAATCGAATAAGGTGCATAAGCCCCATGCGCTGAATAAAGGACTCAGGGTCCCATCCCCTGGGGGGGCGCATATCCGGGTGGATACGGTACGCCCTAAGCAGACATCACAATTCAGGGAAGGTCGACCATATTTCATGCAGTGCAACTCCTAGCATGGGAAGCAGCCGGATTAACATGACCCATGCACGCATGCCAATGACTCCATGCATGCATGCCAATTAACATTGAATAAACCACAAGGTGCTCGTTTGCCCAACATCTTCTTTGCTGCCAAATGGATCTAAGGTGTTAGTGACGGCAGCAGTCCGCCCTCAGCGGAAAGGAGGGGAGGCATGTAGATACGAAGTCAGGTGAGTGGCCAGGTCAGCGTAGGTGCCTTGCAGCTGGCGCAGCAAGCAGTGACACGCGGCAAGGAGCCGAGGAGGCCAGAGGCATGTGCTAGGGTATGAAGGCAGCGAAGCGGGCGTCTCTTGGCGTGTCAGGCACCTGCACAAATGGGAGGGTCAGGAGCTGCAGGCAGCGAGGAGGCAGAGCGCAGGAAGAGGGTGAGATATGGGTGGGTCAAGGTGCTTTTGAGGCGCCTCAAAAGAGGGTGAGATATGGGTGGGTCAAGGTGCTTTTGAGGCGCCTCAAAAGAGGGTGAGATATGGGTGGGTCAAGGTGCTTTTGAGGCGCCTCAAAAGAGGGTGAGATATGGGTGGGTCAAGGTGCTTTTGAGGCGCCTCAAAAGAGGGTGAGATATGGGTGGGTCAAGGTGCTTTTGAGGCGCCTCAAAAGAGGGTGAGATATGGGTGGGTCAAGGTGCTTTTGAGGCGCCTCAAAGAGGGTGAGATATGGGTGGGTCAAGGTGCTTTTGAGGCGCCTCAAAAGAGGGTGAGATATGGGTGGGTCAAGGTTCTTTTGAGGCGCCTCAAAAGAGGGTGAGATATGGGTGGGTCAAGGTGCTTTTGAGGCGCCTCAAAAGAGGGTGAGATATGGGTGGGTCAAGGTGCTTTTCAGGCGCCTCAAAAGAGGGTGAGATATGGGTGGGTCAAGGTTCTTTTGAGGCGCCTCAAAAGAGGGTGAGATATGGGTGGGTCAAGGTGCTTTTGAGGCGCCTCAAAAGAGGGTGAGATATGGGTGGGTCAAGGTGCTTTGAGGCGCCTCAAAAGAGGGTGAGATATGGGTGGGTCAAGGTGCTTTTGAGGCGCCTCAAAAGAGGGTGAGATATGGGTGGGTCAAGGTGCTTTTCAGGCGCCTCAAAAGAGGGTGAGATATGGGTGGGTCAAGGTGCTTTTCAGGCGCCTCAAAAGAGGGTGGGATATGGGTGGGTCAAGGTGCTTTTGAGGCGCCTCAAAAGAGGGTGAGATATGGGTGGGTCAAGGTGCTTTTCAGGCGCCTCAAAAGAGGGTGAGATATGGGTGGGTCAAGGTGCTTTTCAGGCGCCTCAAAAGAGGGTGAGATATGGGTGGGTCAAGGTGCTTTTCAGGCGCCTCAAAAGAGGGTGAGATATGGGTGGGTCAAGGTGCTTTTCAGGCGCCTCAAAAGAGGGTGAGATATGGGTGGGTCAAGGTGCTTTTCAGGCGCCTCAAAAGAGGGTGAGATATGGGTGGATCAAGGTGCTTTTGAGGCGCCTCAAAAGAGGGTGAGATATGGGTGGGTCAAGGTGCTTTTCAGGCGCCTCAAAAGAGGGTGAGATATGGGTGGGTCAAGGTGCTTTTCAGGCGCCTCAAAAGAGGGTGAGATATGGGTGGGTCAAGGTGCTTTTCAGGCGCCTCAAAAGAGGGTGAGATATGGGTGGGTCAAGGTGCTTTTCAGGCGCCTCAAAAGAGGGTGAGATATGGGTGGGTCAAGGTGCTTTTGAGGCGCCTCAAAAGAGGGTGAGATATGGGTGGATCAAGGTGCTTTTGAGGCGCCTCAAAAGAGGGTGAGATATGGGTGGATCAAGGTGCTTTTCAGGCGCCTCAAAAGAGGGTGAGATATGGGTGGGTCAAGGTGCTTTTCAGGCGCCTCAAAAGAGGGTGAGATATGGGTGGGTCAAGGTGCTTTTCAGGCGCCTCAAAAGAGGGTGGGATATGGGTGGGTCAAGGTGCTTTTGAGGCGCCTCAAAAGAGGGTGAGATATGGGTGGGTCAAGGTGCTTTTCAGGCGCCTCAAAAGAGGGTGAGATATGGGTGGGTCAAGGTGCTTTTCAGGCGCCTCAAAAGAGGGTGAGATATGGGTGGGTCAAGGTGCTTTTCAGGCGCCTCAAAAGAGGGTGAGATATGGGTGGGTCAAGGTGCTTTTGAGGCGCCTCAAAAGAGGGTGAGATATGGGTGGATCAAGGTGCTTTTCAGGCGCCTCAAAAGAGGGTGAGATATGGGTGGGTCAAGGTGCTTTTCAGGCGCCTCAAAAGAGGGTGAGATATGGGTGGGTCAAGGTGCTTTTCAGGCGCCTCAAAAGAGGGTGAGATATGGGTGGGTCAAGGTGCTTTTCAGGCGCCTCAAAAGAGGGTGAGATATGGGTGGGTCAAGGTGCTTTTGAGGTGCCTCAAAAGAGGGTGAGATATGGGTGGATCAAGGTGCTTTTGAGGCGCCTCAAAAGAGGGTGAGATATGGGTGGGTCAAGGTGCTTTTCAGGCGCCTCAAAAGAGGGTGAGATATGGGTGGGTCAAGGTGCTTTTCAGGCGCCTCAAAAGAGGGTGAGATATGGGTGGGTCAAGGTGCTTTTCAGGCGCCTCAAAAGAGGGTGAGATATGGGTGGGTCAAGGTGCTTTTGAGGCGCCTCAAAAGAGGGTGAGATATGGGTGGGTCAAGGTGCTTTTGAGGCGCCTCAAAAGAGGGTGAGATATGGGTGGGTCAAGGTGCTTTTCAGGCGCCTCAAAAGAGGGTGAGATATGGGTGGGTCAAGGTGCTTTTCAGGCGCCTCAAAAGAGGGTGAGATATGGGTGGGTCAAGGTGCTTTTCAGGCGCCTCAAAAGAGGGTGAGATATGGGTGGGTCAAGGTGCTTTTCAGGCGCCTCAAAAGAGGGTGAGATATGGGTGGGTCAAGGTGCTTTTGAGGCGCCTCAAAAGAGGGTGAGATATGGGTGGATCAAGGTGCTTTTGAGGCGCCTCAAAAGAGGGTGAGATATGGGTGGATCAAGGTGCTTTTCAGGCGCCTCAAAAGAGGGTGAGATATGGGTGGGTCAAGGTGCTTTTCAGGCGCCTCAAAAGAGGGTGAGATATGGGTGGGTCAAGGTGCTTTTCAGGCGCCTCAAAAGAGGGTGAGATATGGGTGGGTCAAGGTGCTTTTCAGGCGCCTCAAAAGAGGGTGAGATATGGGTGGGTCAAGGTGCTTTTGAGGCGCCTCAAAAGAGGGTGAGATATGGGTGGGTCAAGGTGCTTTTGAGGCGCCTCAAAAGAGGGTGAGATATGGGTGGGTCAAGGTGCTTTTCAGGCGCCTCAAAAGAGGGTGAGATATGGGTGGGTCAAGGTGCTTTGAGGCGCCTCAAAAGAGGGTGAGATATGGGTGGGTCAAGGTGCTTTTCAGGCGCCTCAAAAGAGGGTGAGATATGGGTGGGTCAAGGTGCTTTTGAGGCGCCTCAAAAGAGGGTGAGATATGGGTGGATCAAGGTGCTTTTGAGGCGCCTCAAAAGAGGGTGAGATATGGGTGGGTCAAGGTGCTTTTCAGGCGCCTCAAAAGAGGGTGAGATATGGGTGGATCAAGGTGCTTTTGAGGCGCCTCAAAAGAGGGTGAGATATGGGTGGGTCAAGGTGCTTTTCAGGCGCCTCAAAAGAGGGTGAGATATGGGTGGGTCAAGGTGCTTTTGAGGTGCCTCAAAAGAGGGTGAGATATGGGTGGATCAAGGTGCTTTTGAGGCGCCTCAAAAGAGGGTGAGATATGGGTGGGTCAAGGTGCTTTTCAGGCGCCTCAAAAGAGGGTGAGATATGGGTGGGTCAAGGTGCTTTTCAGGCGCCTCAAAAGAGGGTGAGATATGGGTGGGTCAAGGTGCTTTTCAGGCGCCTCAAAAGAGGGTGAGATATGGGTGGGTCAAGGTGCTTTTGAGGCGCCTCAAAAGAGGGTGAGATATGGGTGGATCAAGGTGCTTTTGAGGCGCCTCAAAAGAGGGTGAGATATGGGTGGATCAAGGTGCTTTTCAGGCGCCTCAAAAGAGGGTGAGATATGGGTGGGTCAAGGTGCTTTTCAGGCGCCTCAAAAGAGGGTGAGATATGGGTGGGTCAAGGTGCTTTTCAGGCGCCTCAAAAGAGGGTGAGATATGGGTGGGTCAAGGTGCTTTTCAGGCGCCTCAAAAGAGGGTGAGATATGGGTGGGTCAAGGTGCTTTTGAGGCGCCTCAAAAGAGGGTGAGATATGGGTGGGTCAAGGTGCTTTTGAGGCGCCTCAAAAGAGGGTGAGATATGGGTGGGTCAAGGTGCTTTTCAGGCGCCTCAAAAGAGGGTGAGATATGGGTGGGTCAAGGTGCTTTGAGGCGCCTCAAAAGAGGGTGAGATATGGGTGGGTCAAGGTGCTTTTCAGGCGCCTCAAAAGAGGGTGAGATATGGGTGGGTCAAGGTGCTTTTGAGGCGCCTCAAAAGAGGGTGAGATATGGGTGGATCAAGGTGCTTTTGAGGCGCCTCAAAAGAGGGTGAGATATGGGTGGGTCAAGGTGCTTTTCAGGCGCCTCAAAAGAGGGTGAGATATGGGTGGATCAAGGTGCTTTTGAGGCGCCTCAAAAGAGGGTGAGATATGGGTGGGTCAAGGTGCTTTTCAGGCGCCTCAAAAGAGGGTGAGATATGGGTGGGTCAAGGTGCTTTTCAGGCGCCTCAAAAGAGGGTGAGATATGGGTGGGTCAAGGTGCTTTTCAGGCGCCTCAAAAGAGGGTGAGATATGGGTGGGTCAAGGTGCTTTTCAGGCGCCTCAAAAGAGGGTGAGATATGGGTGGGTCAAGGTGCTTTTGAGGCGCCTCAAAAGAGGGTGAGATATGGGTGGATCAAGGTGCTTTTGAGGCGCCTCAAAAGAGGGTGAGATATGGGTGGATCAAGGTGCTTTTCAGGCGCCTCAAAAGAGGGTGAGATATGGGTGGGTCAAGGTGCTTTTCAGGCGCCTCAAAAGAGGGTGAGATATGGGTGGGTCAAGGTGCTTTTGAGGCGCCTCAAAAGAGGGTGGGATATGGGTGGGTCAAGGTGCTTTTGAGGCGCCTCAAAAGAGGGTGAGATATGGGTGGGTCAAGGTGCTTTTCAGGCGCCTCAAAAGAGGGTGAGATATGGGTGGGTCAAGGTGCTTTTCAGGCGCCTCAAAAGAGGGTGAGATATGGGTGGGTCAAGGTGCTTTTCAGGCGCCTCAAAAGAGGGTGAGATATGGGTGGGTCAAGGTGCTTTTGAGGCGCCTCAAAAGAGGGTGAGATATGGGTGGGTCAAGGTGCTTTTGAGGCGCCTCAAAAGAGGGTGAGATATGGGTGGGTCAAGGTGCTTTTCAGGCGCCTCAAAAGAGGGTGAGATATGGGTGGGTCAAGGTGCTTTTCAGGCGCCTCAAAAGAGGGTGAGATATGGGTGGGTCAAGGTGCTTTTCAGGCGCCTCAAAAGAGGGTGAGATATGGGTGGGTCAAGGTGCTTTTCAGGCGCCTCAAAAGAGGGTGAGATATGGGTGGGTCAAGGTGCTTTTGAGGCGCCTCAAAAGAGGGTGAGATATGGGTGGATCAAGGTGCTTTTCAGGCGCCTCAAAAGAGGGTGAGATATGGGTGGATCAAGGTGCTTTTCAGGCGCCTCAAAAGAGGGTGAGATATGGGTGGGTCAAGGTGCTTTTGAGGCGCCTTAAAAGAGGGTGAGATATGGGTGGGTCAAGGTGCTTTTCAGGCGCCTCAAAAGAGGGTGGGATATGGGTGGGTCAAGGTGCTTTTGAGGCGCCTCAAAAGAGGGTGAGATATGGGTGGGTCAAGGTGCTTTTCAGGCGCCTCAAAAGAGGGTGAGATATGGGTGGGTCAAGGTGCTTTTCAGGCGCCTCAAAAGAGGGTGAGATATGGGTGGGTCAAGGTGCTTTTCAGGCGCCTCAAAAGAGGGTGAGATATGGGTGGGTCAAGGTGCTTTTCAGGCGCCTCAAAAGAGGGTGAGATATGGGTGGGTCAAGGTGCTTTTGAGGCGCCTCAAAAGAGGGTGAGATATGGGTGGGTCAAGGTGCTTTTGAGGCGCCTCAAAAGAGGGTGAGATATGGGTGGGTCAAGGTGCTTTGAGGCGCCTCAAAAGAGGGTGAGATATGGGTGGGTCAAGGTGCTTTTCAGGCGCCTCAAAAGAGGGTGAGATATGGGTGGGTCAAGGTGCTTTTGAGGCGCCTCAAAAGAGGGTGAGATATGGGTGGATCAAGGTGCTTTTGAGGCGCCTCAAAAGAGGGTGAGATATGGGTGGGTCAAGGTGCTTTTCAGGCGCCTCAAAAGAGGGTGAGATATGGGTGGGTCAAGGTGCTTTTGAGGCGCCTCAAAAGAGGGTGAGATATGGGTGGATCAAGGTGCTTTTGAGGCGCCTCAAAAGAGGGTGAGATATGGGTGGGTCAAGGTGCTTTGAGGCGCCTCAAAAGAGGGTGAGATATGGGTGGATCAAGGTGCTTTTGAGGCGCCTCAAAAGAGGGTGAGATATGGGTGGGTCAAGGTGCTTTTCAGGCGCCTCAAAAGAGGGTGAGATATGGGTGGGTCAAGGTGCTTTTCAGGCGCCTCAAAAGAGGGTGAGATATGGGTGGGTCAAGGTGCTTTTGAGGCGCCTCAAAAGAGGGTGAGATATGGGTGGGTCAAGGTGCTTTTCAGGCGCCTCAAAAGAGGGTGAGATATGGGTGGGTCAAGGTGCTTTTGAGGCGCCTCAAAAGAGGGTGAGATATGGGTGGGTCAAGGTGCTTTTGAGGCGCCTCAAAAGAGGGTGAGATATGGGTGGGTCAAGGTGCTTTTGAGGCGCCTCAAAAGAGGGTGAGATATGGGTGGGTCAAGGTGCTTTTCAGGCGCCTCAAAAGAGGGTGAGATATGGGTGGGTCAAGGTGCTTTGAGGCGCCTCAAAAGAGGGTGAGATATGGGTGGGTCAAGGTGCTTTTCAGGCGCCTCAAAAGCGGGTGAGATATGGGTGGGTCTGTGTGGTCTGTGTGGTCTGTGTGGTCTGTGTGGTCTGTGTGGTCTGTGTGGTCTGTGTGGTCTGTGTGGTCTGTGTGGTCTGTGTGGTCTGTGTGGTCTGTGTGGTCTGTGTGGTCTGTGGTGTGGTCTGTGTGGTCTGTGTGGTCTGTGTGGTCTGTGTGGTCTGTGTGGTCTGTGTGGTCTGTGTGGTCTGTGTGGTCTGTGTGGTCTGTGTGGTCTGTGTGGTCTGTGTGGTCTGTGTGGTCTGTGTGGTCTGTGTGGTCTGTGTGGTCTGTGTGGTCTGTGTGGTCTGTGTGGTCTGTGTGGTCTGTGTGGTCTGTGTGGTCTGTGTGGTCTGTGTGGTCTGTGTGGTCTGTGTGGTCTGTGTGGTCTGTGTGGTCTGTGTGGTCTGTGTGGTCTGTGTGGTCTGTGTGGTCTGTGTGGCCTGTGCGTTATCCACTCCAACCACTACCCCACTCTCGGTTCATGTCCTTTCCTGGTGGATGTTGATGAGCCTGTGGCATGGAGGCATGGGTAGCGCCGGTTCCATGCGAGCAAGCAGCACGCAGAGAGACGTGTGGAGTGAAGGTGCGGGTTGGCAAGCACAGGCGCTGTAGTTGTGCTTGTGAGGAGCACGAGGCATGCAGTGACCAAATGCTGTTGCCGGCTCATAACACGGAGGCGTGCAGCACAAGGGAACAAAGGGCCAGAGGCGGCGCATGGATATGTGAGAGCCGTGACAACGGGCAAAGGGAAGCACTGCTGCCAGCACGCGGGTGGCTCACATCGGAGGCGGAGGGGCGCTGGTTGGGGTCGAGCTGGAAGCAGGCGGTGAGGAAGTCCCTGGCCTCCTCCGACGCGGCCTCGGGGATGGGTGGCCCCGTGGTGGTCTTGGCGATGTGGAAGATGGCGCTCCACGTGTTGTCCATGCCCGGCCACGGGTGCCTGGGGGGGGGAGGCGGGCGCAGGAGCAAGGGAGGCTTGAGGGACGATGCCCTGCCACGGGTGCCTGCCACTGCCAAGCGGCACAGGGGAGTGAAGGGCGAACATGAGTCAAGAAGAGGGGAGGCGTAGGATGAGAAGAAGACAAGAAAGAATGGCACCAGTGAGGCTGGACGAGCATGCACTCTAAGGTGGGCTCAGGTTTCCTCTGCACATGACTTTTACCAGTCACCATACTCCGCTCACCAGTCACCATACTCCGCTCACCAGTCACCATACTCCACTCACCAGTCACCATACTCCACTCACCAGTCACCATACTCCACTCACCAGTCACCATACTCCACTCACCAGTCACCATACTCCACTCACCAGTCACCATACTCCACTCACCAGTCACCATACTCCACTCACCAGTCACCATACTCCACTCACCAGTCACCATACTCCACTCACCAGTCACCATACTCCACTCACCCTCGTCAGTCGTAATTCCAACCATGCTCCACGCTCTAACGTCTCAAGATTCAAAACCGTTCTTGTTAGCTTCTCAATGACTCACCGCCCTCTGAGCATCTCGATGACTCACCGCCCTGTCAGCATGTCGATGACTCACCACCCTGTCAGCATCTCGATGACTCACCACCCTGTCAGCATCTCGATGACTCACCGCCCTGTCAGCATCTCGATGACTCACCGCCCTGTCAGCATCTCGATGACTCACCGCCCTGTCAGCATCTCGATGACTCACCACCCTGTCAGCATCTCGATGACTCACCGCCCTGTCAGCATCTCGATGACGCCCTGTCAGCATCTCGATGACTCACCACCCTGTCAGCATCTCGATGACTCACCGCCCTGTCAGCATCTCGATGACTCACCGCCCTGTCAGCATCTGATGACTCACCGCCCTGTCAGCATCTCGATGACTCACCGCCCTGTCAGCATCTCGATGACTCACCGCCCTGTCAGCATCTCGATGACGGTGCACCCAACGCTCCAGATGTCGGCGCGCCTGCCGTAGCCCTCGCCCTTGATGACCTCGGGCGCCATCCAGAACACCGACCCACGGATGCTCTTGCACCCCTCGCCCACCGTGCCCTCGTGGAAGCTCTGCCCACGGAACGGGTTGACGGGGGGGGATTGCGGGGGTGATTCACAAGAAGGCTCTGTGTCTCCATGTCTCCAGATGCGGCCCCCTCCATTCCGAATCCCTGAGAGAAGGACTCAAGTAAGAAATTAAGTTACGTAGTGTGGAACATGTTGGACACAAGGTCAAGACACGAGCAAGAATCTGCACACGTTGGGCCATTCTGATGGTCCGTGCCAAGTCACCCAACTTTTCCCCACGCCTACATGAATGACCCCAAGCAATCTTGCCTGTCCTAACCTTCGCGTCCAACCATGATGCGCCCTCCATCCCACCTCGCCTCCATGTTAAGATAGCGTTGAACTCTCAGCTCTCAGCTCTCAGTGGTGCCTTTCGCCCTTCTCCTTACGCCCCCACACTGCCTTTTCCCCTTCTTGAGCCCCGCCCTGCCTTTCCCCCTTCTTGAGCTCCACCTTGCCTTTCCTTCCCCCAACGCACCTTGGAGGCGCCGAAGTCGGCGAGCTTGACTCACCTTGGAGGCGCCGAAGTCGGCGAGCTTGACGACGCCGTCGCGGTCGACGAGGACGTTGCCGCCCTTTATGTCGCGGTGCACGATGCGGCACGCGTGCAAATACTCCAGCCCCAGCAGCAGCTGCCGCGTGTACACGCGCACCAGCGACTCGCTGAACGCCCCAAACTTCTCCAACATGCTGGGGGGAAGGGGGGGTGGGGAGGGGGAGGGGTTGGGGGTTGGACAGAAGAAAAAAATGTGTAGAACAAGGGGATGATTAAAAGGTGCAAAATGTTTCTTCTACAGGCCGGAGTACCACAGCCAGGTGAGTAGAGCGATACAAATGGGATGAGCGATGGGAGGCAGGCAGGGCAAGCGGAGCAAATGGGAAGAGGAACATTTCGAGGGGACAAGATTGCGCAATGTGTGCCGCAACACATCTGTTAAGACCTCGTGCGAGACAACCGGAAACAGTTTGGAAATATTTTCTCCCTCCCATTGAAATCGCTTGAGGACTTCATTCCAGCCACCTGCGTTCCTCTCCAGCTCGTCCCTTATCTGTAATAGGGCCTCACGCCCCCTCTCTTGTGGATGCAGCCTCACCTGTGGATGCAGCCTCACCTGTGGATGCAGCCTCTCCTGTGGATGCAGCCTCCCCTGTGGATGCAGCCTCACCTGTGGATGCAGCCTCACCTGTGGATGCATCCTCACCTGTGGATGCAGCCTCACCTGTGGATGCAGCCTCACCTGTGGATGCAGCCTCACCTGTGGATGCAGCCTCATTTGTGGATGCAGCCTCACCTGTGGATGCAGCCTCACCTGTGGATGCAGCCTCACCTGTGGATGGAGCCGCCTGAGACGAATTCGAGGAAGATGTAGATGGAGCCGTCCTTGGCGTCCTTCTCCATGTCGATGTACCCCACGATGTGCTTGTGGCGCATCTGCTTGTACAGCACGATCTCACGCTCCAACGCCGCGATCAGCATGGCCTTCTCATCGCCCGCGCTGGTGAGCTTGATCTCCTTCACCGCCATCAACTCGCCCGTCATCTCGTTCAGCCCCAGGAACACCTGCCACCACACATGCACGCACACGTGCACGCACACATGCATGCGCACATGCACGCGCACATGCATGCACACATGCATGCACACATGCACGCTCACATGCGCGCACACATGCAAGCACACATGCGTGCACACATGCACGCACACATGCGTGCACACATGCACGCACACATGCGCGCACACATGCATGCACACATGCAGGCACACATGGATGCACACATGCATGCACACATGCGTGCACACATGCGTGCATACATGCACCCACACATATACGCACCATGCAGGCACACATGCATGCACACATGCACGCACACATGCATGCACACATCCACGCACACATGCACCCACACATGCACGCACACATGCACGCACACATGCATGCACACATGCATGCACACATGCATGCACACATGCACGCAGCAAGGGGGGAAAGAGGGAGAAACACATTCAGAGCCACAGTGTTTTCCAGAGGGGAAGGTGGAGGCAGAGGTAGCATGACGCTCAACCTCCACCACCTCCCATGGAGTCTCCTGTGTCGGTTCCGTGGACCTTCCCGTTGAGAGAAACAGGCAGCTCCTCTTACACTCAGCATCAGGCTCCCCACCACGCGCAACTCCTGGAGTCCCACCCACATGCACGCGAGTCGCCTCTGCACGTGGCGTCAACCTCCGCCACGTACTGCTGCTGGCGCCATCAAGGGGAACATGAGGGTGAGGGTGAGTCAGCTGGTACATACTCGTTGGACAGGTTATCATCCATCCGTCCCAAGACAGCTAGGTAAGCCATGCACTTAAGCTGTGTCCTGTCAAGGAGTGTGTTGCCACTACCTTTCAACCCAGACCGTTGTGACCAGACATGGTTAAATCGCATCGCATCGCGATATATCGCATTTTGTGATAGCGATTTATCTTTATTTTTTAAGAATATCACGGCGATGCGATGCGATAATATCGCGCGATATTTGCGATATCGCGTTTTTATCGCTCTATTCTTTGCGCGATAAAATGTGATAAGCGATAAAAAGATATCGCGCGCGATACTTTCGAGTTTCGCGTCGCGGAATTTCGCCAGCAAGGGGAGGGACATGGGCGAGGGCCCTGAACTTAGCGAAAATAGATGGTAAGCTAGTCTAGGTTTCTCTTGCTGAATGGCGCGCGGAAATGGCAAGCGGCAGTTTGGGGGGAGGAGTTTGTGTGAGGAGCAGAGATTGGAGCACATTAGAGGAATGGTTGGAGATTCTAGATGGGAAGGAGTGCAGTGTGGTTGAGGGAGGGGAGTTTGGTGGGGGTTCAAATTTGTTATGGTTGGTGGTGGTGGGTGGTGGGCGAGTGGGTTTTCTGGATGGGATGTGGTGGTGTGCGGTTGAAGGGATTTAGGGGGTTGGACTGAAATCTCGACCCCCAAAGTCAATTGGTTGGAACTCCAACCAATTTCCACCACTTCAACCGCACTAAACTCCCCTAGGGTTGAGCAAACTACCCGCCCGGGTCGGGTACCCGGTACCCGGACCCGCTTTTAGGGCGGGTCGGGTATCGGAAATCCTGAAAATTACCCGGCGGGTCGGGTCCGGGTTACCCGGGCCGGGTATCAATACCCGCTACCCGAAATGCTACCCGACGTGTCGGGTAACGGGTACCCGACCCGGTCGGGTAAAAAATTACCCGAGGTCGGGTATTCCACCTAGACATGGGCGTAAGTCGCGCTGTGTTTTAGGTTTTGCGGCAAAAACGGTTTTGGAGGTGAGGGGGGACGAGTGGAGCATTTGTGAGGAGAAGTTGGAGTTTGTAGATTGGGAGGAGTTAAGTGCGGTGAAAGGGAGGGAGTTGGGTGGGAGTTGGAGAAGAGGTTGGAGTTTGTAGATGGGTAGGAGTTCAGTGCGGTGAAAGGGAGGGAGTTTTGTTGGAAATGTTGGAGCTTGTAGACAGGGAGGAGTTCAGTGCGGTGAAAGGGAGGGAGTTTGGTTGGAAATTGGAGTTTGTAGACGGGGAGGAGTTCAGTGCGATGAAAGGGAGGGAGTTTGGTTGGAAATTGGAGTTTGTAGACGGGGAGGAGTTCAGTGCGGTGAAGGGGAGGGAGTTGGGTGGTCAAAATTCGACCCCCAGAAAACGCGACTCTCATTTGAGAGTCGCGTTTTCAGGAACCCTACCTAGCCTAGCCCAACTTAAGGATGTCCACTAGTAGGTGGCGGGTAGTATTACCCGTTTTTCAGGGTAACCGGGTCGGGTATACCCGGACCCGCCAGGCGGGTATTGTATTACCCGCCCCCTAAGGCCGGGTCCGGGTAAGGGTCCTGGGCATATTACCCGACCCGGACCCGACCCGAAATTACCCGACTCGAGGTCAGGTATTGCAAAATCGGGTCGGGTCGGGTAAATACCCGGTTTTGCTCAAGCCTAAACTCCCCTGCATCTACAGAATCCAAACCCTTCCCCTCAAAAACGCTCCACATGAGAGAGGGACCACGATATTCCCATCTCCCGTCAATTCACTTACCTAATTCCGCGTGAACCTAGGAGAACCACCATTGTCGTGCCCTGTGGTGTGGGAACACGTTCTTTAGGGTGGGAAAACAGTGGCCCCTAAATGCGATGCGATATTATATCGCATCGCGCGATGCATCGCTTTTTTTAGGCGATACATTTAAATATCGCCCCCTAAAATGCGATATGCGATTTAGGTTTTTTTTTTTAACATATCGCAGCGATGGGATATCGCATCGCTGCGATATAATGCGCGATAAGAAAGAATGCGATGCGATATCGCATCGCATCGCGTTTTGACCATGTCTAGTTGTGACATTAGCATAGCTTTCGTAGGCGAAAAATTGACCTTTTCTTTTCCATAACACTTCATCGGATGGTCGTAGTGTTTCAGCAAACTCTTTAGTCCTTCTGAGAATTGCCTTCTCCACTTCCCGAAACATGTTCAACTTTCCGCATTTTCTGCGTGTTCTAGAGACACCGCATAAGTCTATTGCGCCGTATTCTGGACAACTAATCTTTAAAAGCTCACACAACAGCTGACAAATAATCTTTAAAAGCTCACACAACTAGACATGAGCAAATTAAATCCCATCGCATCGCATATAATCGCGATTTTGCGATTGCGATTTTTTTTTAATGAATTCATCGCGCGATTCGATGGTTTATTTATCGCGCGATTAAAATTAAATCAAGTTTATATCGCGCTGGAAAACGCGATTTAAACGCGATTTCCGATTTTATTTAAATAGCGCGCGATGTCGGAATGCATTGCAGCGCGAAATCTCACCAGCATATGGTGAAAAATCGCAAAGCCCAAAAGCGCATTTCTGAGAATCTCTTTCGCAGAATCTCCTTGGGAATACGTTTTTGGCCTTTGCACACGCTCCCATGTAGACATGAGCAAAACCGGGTAATTACCCGACCCGACCCGGTTTTGCCCTACCCGCAATCGGGACCGGGTCGGGTCAGGCCAGGTAATTTCCGGGTAATGTTTGGAGGTCTGTTACCCGACCCGACATTTTAATACCGGGTAATTGGGTACCCGTCTGGGGGGTCGGGTATACCCGGCCCGCATATAATTGAAGTCGGGTAATATTACCCGGGTACCCCTAGGTGGCTGTAAAATTCAGCAAACCCCGAGTAACAAACCCAAAGTCGGGTCGGGTACCCGCGACCCGACGGGTAATAAATTACCCGACATTTCGGGTAATTCTCGGGTAACGGGTATGCATTACCCGGCCCGAGTACCCGACCCGACCCGGCCGGGTAATTCGTCAAATCCTATTACCCGACCCAGCCAAAATGTCGGGTCGGGTCGGGTACCTGCGACCCGATCGGGTAAAATGCTCAAGTCTACTCCCCCCATGCACTCCTAAACTCACCGTTCTTAATTGTTTTTGGTGGTTGAAATTAGTAGACGGAGTAGATTGAGCGCCGCATTAGCTTTTAGTCGAGCTACGCCTTTCGCGCATGCATTTGGCGCATCGGCGGCGTCGCAAGGGTTTTTGCCGTGCGCTAGCTGGATTCTCACCACGACGCACGTGCATTGCCGCTTATTGAATTGCGTAACTTAATTAGCCGCACGCTGCAGGGTAGGGTTGATCAAACTACCCGCCCGGGTCGGGTACCCGATACCCGGACCCGCTTTTAGGGCGGGTCGGGTATCGGAAATCCTGTAAAATACCCGACGGGTCGAGTCCGGGTTACCCGGGCGGGTATTCGATACCCGCTACCCGAAATGCTACCCGACGGCGCGGGTAGCGGGTACCCACCGGGTCGGGTATTAAATACCCGAGTTAGGGTAAAGACCCGAAATCGGGTCGGGGAAATCAGGTCGCGCTGCTACCCGTCGGCAGCACCGCGATCAAAATTGGGGAGGGTTGGAAATTTCGACCATTTGGTCGAAATTTCTTGCCCAACTTTCGAGATCTGGTTTCGTTTTGTCCCTACCGTAGTCGCGCCACCTAACAACAACACCCGCTTCCGTCAAAAAGCTTCCCGCACCATAAATCGTTTTGTTCCGACATTAGGTAGGGCGGTTTTACACTACGGAGGAGAGGAGTTGGCTGCGCTTGTGGTTTAGGGTTTTGGAGATCTAGGGTTACACGACCTATTCGCCCCCTCGCACTCCCCATTATAGCGCCGACATTAGGGTTTCGGGTTGTCCCATCATGCAGTTCTACGACCGTGACGGGCGTCCCGTCCCTTTCGAGGGCGGGAGGGTTGAGGGTAGCGGGCTCCAGAGCGGAGCCATGCCTGGAGCATCTCTGACAGGCCTCCCTCAAGTGGTCCGTGTATTCATGGTCAAGCAGGGTACAGCAGAGCAGGTATAGTAGGACAAGGAGCATGCAAGGGGGGCGTTCCTATTGAAATGTGACCCCTACTCCCCAAGATCCCCCCCCCCCTACTCCCCCTCTAGCGTTTGGAGGAGGTCCCCTAGGTGAAGCGGCCATGGATCTGCTGGGGCTTGAGGGTGTGCAGCCTCGATGCCCGCACCATGCCATGCCATGCCATGCCATG